GAGACGGCTATGGAACACGAATGTTAACGTTGTGAGTCAAAATGTGAGCCACAAGGCCGTTTAAGTGATTTAAGGATTTTTTTGTTTTTTTAATTGATTTCACTATGTTTTAATTTATGTTTTTGTTTTTTTGGCAGTTTTGTTATATGATTTTTTAAATGTTTTTACTTTTTTAAATCTTTTCATTTATGTTTTTTAAATGTTTCTTAATAAAGCACACGGTTTTTCATCAAATTTCCTTTACGCTTAAATGTCATTGCCTCTTCAGGAAAAAATTGGTTTGCAAAGTATTGGTTTCCAGCCAAGTATATAAATTAAGTAACTCACTCTGCAAAAGAAACTATGCAAACCCTCTCCCAGCAGTCAAAATTTGCCTGCAATCCGAATACAGGCCCTGGATATATGTCAATCACGCTAACCTAGCGCACTTTGCGTTCTATGTGAATGGTGTGTCACATCTCCGGCCACCACCATCTCCGGACGACTGCAGGGCTCCTCCACCGTCGCCTACCTCATCGGCTGGATCAGATACTCCCCCTGCCCCATCCCTCCCTCCTCCTCCTCTCTTCCCCTCCCCCTCTTCGTCTCGTCCCCTCCCATCTTCTCCTCCTCATCTCCCCCTTTCCCCCGCCCTGATTTCGCCTATCCTCACCCCTCTGCCTCTGCTCCACACCTTTCTCCCTCTCCCTCCAACTCCCTCGTCTCCTCTGCGCCCTTGGTTCCCCCCCTTCCTTCTCGCACCCGAAAACGGGGCCCACCCTCTCCTCCTTCTTCTGCCTCACCTCCCTCCCTCCCCGCCTCTCCGCGCCCCCACTCTGCTACTTCCTGGGAAGATGATTGGAGCGCCAAGGATGATGACCTCCTTCTCAGTCTCAAATGCAATGAACGACTTCGACCCAGTTGGCGCTATGTTGCTAGCTACCTCATGACGCTCTTCCATACCTTCACGCGCGTCATTTCACGGACTCGACCTCTCTTTGTACGCTGTCGGCTGGAAAAGATATTGCGGTCGCTTCTCTAAGCTTGAATGCACTTCGTTTTCTTGGGATGTCTTTTGTGCTTCCGCATCCATCCCAACTTTTCGTTCATGTAGTTTCTTGGCTCAAATTTCGGTCTCACTGTCCTCCACTCGAACTCCTTTTGACGAGCTCAATGCCTACGTCATCCAGTACATGCATTCGACGACCTCGTCCCTCCATGGCCTCTCACCTTCGGGATTCTAATTCTGATGAACCTGTCCTCATCTCCACCAATTTCCCGAAGAAAGCTCGCCCAGCACAGCCTCCTATTTCACTGCGGACGACATTGACCTCTCCTTACAGTTCGACTCCCCCCACAACCTCTTCACGCGCGACCACGCTGACCTCGAGTACTTCTTCCCCGGCTTCACCCCGTCCTCTGGTTGGATTTCTCGTCAAACTCAATGGAGAGCATGTACCATTTCTCATTCCCCACCCGTCGATGCCTTTTCGACTACCTGAGGCTAAGCCTTAATTCAATAATTCATCTCTTGGTTTCATCTTACTACCTCCGCTTCCCGTTTGGAAAAGGACCTTGCCACAAGGATTTTCGATTTTCACCTTCCCTCCATCAATCTACATCTTGTTCACCTTTTCTCTTCCTTCTTCTCCCTTCCACAGCTTCTGGGTTCAGACACGCGATCCTCGTTTCGTTGTTACGACTCCTCTCTGTTCGACATGGAGAACACCCACACCCCGAACGATGACGCTCGCAACCCTTCGGATTGTTCCTCTCCGACTCAAGTACCTACTGATGATTGTCCTTCGACCCCGGACCAAATGGCGCTCTCCAGCCTTTTCGCTCTGCCACTCGGACGTGATGGTCGCTCCACCGTGGTCGATTTGGCCCCCGGATCCACCACTTGGATTGATATGCACGCAGTGGATCCCACCTTACTCCCAGGACTTCCTCGAGTTGAAAACCAATACAACGAGGATTACACTGACTATGCTCAGCAGGTCCACAACCATGCTCATGGATCCTTTCCTGTTGCCAAACCCTATGAGGAATGGGCATGCCGCCAATTAATGTGGTCCCTCTCGTCACTGGTTCTATCGCTCCTGGTTCCACCATCAGACCCTTCGCTGGAACCACGAAGATATTCCTTACTTCAAATCAGCTTCAGGCTACTTCATTGACGTTCACCCTTCCTCATATTGGCACACTCAGCACTTTCGGGTGTGGGGCACCCGGGGCTGGCAACTAGTGTTACCAGCTACTCAAAGCCTTCCCATTTGGGAGGCATGTGAGAATTATGAATATGCACTTCGTTGTGAGGAGGAACATTTGGCCGCTGAGAACAACCCGGTCATGTCCGACGCCACTGCAACAGCTCCTCCCCTATAGGACGTAAACGTCAGGCCGTCGACAATTTGGAACACCTCAGCGCGCAGTACCAGCTGGAAACACTCCTACAGAACTTCTCCCAGATGGATGTCTCGCAGACTCCAATGCTCAGGCGCCTCCAGCTCCGGAACAACGACAACTTATTGACGGGGTCGTACACACCCTCACTACGTATCAGGACGAACTCCAGCAAGCGCTCCGCCAAGATGATCCCGCTCCTGCTCCTGACCGTTCCTCCGCGGCTCCTTCTGCCTCTACAGGTCAAGAACTCCCGCTCGACCCGGTCGCTAGCGGCGCAGGACTTCCCATACCTGACTCGGGCTCTACGTCGCTGAATTCCTCCTCCACAGATTCCCAGAATACCTTGGCTCCTCCTTTTCCACCTTCTGATGGAACCCATGATTGACTACCACTTGGGCGCCAACAAGATCTTCAGGTCGAGGCCGTACGAGCTTCCCTTGTACATTAGAACTTACTTCCCCGTCGAAAACAGCATTGCTGCACTCCAGATCTTTCGGTTACTACTTGCTCTGTTTTGTTTATTTTCTTTTCCTTGTCTTTTTCATCTTTACACTCGACACGGTTTTCATTTTTTACACTCTCTCTTTCTATCTCTCCGCAGCCGTTGGCTCCTCACGTATGTACACTCCTTCCTCACTCGCCTCCTCCTCCTCCTTCCGCGATGATCTCTTCCCCCGGACTTCGAGTTCCTGAACCTCTGACCCAACTGATACCCACTGCGTGGCGTGATGTTCGTCAACCCTTTGAATCCTTGGATCTAGCGCCCAATCTCTCCACCATTCGGTTTGAACTCGACATCAGCTTGCTCGTCTATCAACCCCTCAACTACATCACCGTGACCCTGGACACTCTCCAACTTGAAACCAAGGAATACACCGTTGACGATCTCAAAGATATGATTTACTCCCGTTTGGGACAACAACGCACGGCATTTTGGATGGCTCTCCCCTCTACCGGAGACTCCCGTGTTTGGGAAGTCCCACACACCTGCACACTTGAAGACCTCGTGCTCTACTACGTCAACTCCCAACGGATTCGCCCTCTGGGGATCGCAAATGAATATCCTCGCGAATCCACTCCTTTCCCATATCGACCTCTTCACACTGTTGCCTCCCGCCTACACGATGATGCTATAGCTATATGTCAACTCCGACTACCTCTGACAGCCTATCAAACTTACCGGGAACTTCGTCAGTTCACCTAGTTTCACCCAACCTTTGGCGCGGAGCTTAAAAACATGCCTCCCCTCGGGGAGGCGTGTGTGTGTGCCCCTTGCAGTCACAGGGATTCTTTTGAATGGTTTTTTACTCAGCAGGGGAGTGCGGCGTGATTGTGGGACCGCACTCAACGAAGCTACTACAACCACGGGACACCGAGTCTGATCAGCTCGGCGTACCTGCCAATTTTTGAAGTTTTGATAAAGTGCTAGTGCAGCTGCAGTCACGCACGGAACGCCGTCACCCTGTCGGACCGACCTCGTCTTGAGCCTTTGGCCACTTTTCCTTTTGACGACCTCCAGGCCCCAGGGATTCGTACATGTACTCCTAGGAAATGGTACCCTAGGCCGGCGTGTGGCACCGCTGTCAAGTCAGTACGCATATCCATAAGTGTGTGTGTGTGTGTGGTTGCAATGACAAGGAACCAAGTGCACAGGAACAACCGATGACAACCCACCTCATTGTAAAAACCTGGGCGATGAAACCTAATTTGAAAGGCCGGGCACTGTGCACGCAAAAGAAGGAAAGCAATGAGATGACAGGACATGAAGCAAGGGAAGACATGAAAGAAAAGAAGAAAAAAGATGTGTGAAAATTGGGAAAGGATGAAAAGGGGAACCAAATGGAGGGGACCGGAGCCGATGAAGCCAAACCTCATTACAACGACCTAGGAAGACCTGCCTCGTTTGAATGTGCACGCTGTATGTGCACCCAAGGTCTTGACAGGTTCCAACGAACCTTAAACTTGCTGTGACCGCTGTGGTCACCTTGCGCCCTGCCAAAGTGGCTGGCTGCTTTGACCGCTGCGGTCACGTAAAGGCATGAGCCAACTTGGAATTCAATAATTCGTCAAGTCTTGGCAAATAACTTTGGCATGAGCCTCCTACGCCCGCTCTGGGCGCGTACATCTCCGGGCAGGTCAGATAACGACAGACACCCGTTCGACGGGTCCACGGGAGCACTCTACGGGCTCATCCCGGACTCTCACTGGGAGAGACACACTTATGGATATGCGTACTGACTTGACAGCGCCAAATCGACGAGTTCGGATCCACAAGATGACGGCGGTCCGTGCACATCTGCAGAATTAAAAGGAATAAATGGCCACCAGCTGCGTCTTACAATGCGCCCAGGTGCACCAAGCAGGTACGTTTTCACGACAGCTTGGATGGGTCTTCGTTGGCCCATGCCATCCAAGTGTCCATGGGCCCCCTGCTGAAAAAAAAGACCAGCAAACAATCCAAATGGATCCCTGTGATTACAAGGGGTACACACACATGACAAAATACTAATATAGATTATGTTCATACTCCCGCGTGCAAAAACGAGCAACCGCCCGGCTCCCATCGCTACAAGTCCAACCGCCTTGAAGCGGACACGTCCGAGCCGAGCTGCGAGGGTGCATAGGTTCCGATCGGGCACCTCCGGCACTGCGTCGCTTCTACTGATTCGGAGTAGGTACCTGCCGGTTTCTCAAGTTCTCAGCCCGGAGTCGAATCCCGTGTCCCGCCTTCAGGACAATCATGGCAGTTGGAGGATCGTTGGACCATTGCAAATGTTCCAGGGGTGCATGGTGAGCACGCAGCTGCACCGTCTGTGCTGCTGAAGCGGCCCGGGGCACATGCTTCACACTGGCTCATGCCAAGGGATGCAAAGTGCCCTGGAGAGCACGGCAAGCAACCCTCCTCCAAGGAAAGCAAATATAAAACTATCAGCTTGCTATTTAGCAATTGCTCAGCTTCACAAATTGCGATTGCTGGTGGTCAAACATCGGTAGGCAAAAATTGCAGTGATTTGTGACACGTGGTGATTCGTGATGCGTGAAGTATGGCGTCTGATTTGGAACTCCGTGAAGTCCAATATCAAATTTTTGGACACGTGCAATCTAGCAATCCACACCTCAATAAATTGCTGTAGGAGTCCCTCTACCTTCCTTTGGAAAGTCTACTTCTTGTTATATAATTCTCTTCTCTAGAAACCTTTGCCTTCTCGATATTTGTTACTTGTGTTTTATTTACGCTGCCCTTTCGAAAGCGCCTTGCAATCTGCGCTTCCAAGTGCACACAAATTTTACCTGTGCATACATTTAATCAAAGGAAGTTTGGTACAGAAGCTTTCGAGTTACAAAGATAGGATGCGTGCGGAAGGAGAAATGGCGGGCAGGATGCGTGCGCTCAAAGGGACAACTTGCGGTACGTAGGGCGCGGCTGCGGCACCAAAAGCAAGTTTTATTCGTCGGTGTCCCGCAAGTGTTTTGATGCGGGTCCTCTCCTGTAGGGACCAAACCTGACCTGCAGGGCATGCATCAGTCCGGTCGGATGGCACCCAGCCGTTGGCAAAATCACAGGTGGCTCCACTGCAAGCAACCATTTTTGTAAGTTCCTCCGAACGCACATGTGCAAACTTGTAAAGTTGCTTCATGCACGACCAAAGCCCTTCCCATTTGCGTTTCCAGGCCTATTTCTTTCTGACTTGCAATCTAACTTGCCATCAAAAATAGACTGAAACAACTACTTCAAACCCTAGTCTTCTTGAGACTGGGTGCTTTGAACATTTTGTGTCACCTTTGCTATGGAACAAATCTCACAGTGCTTCCTCCGCCTGTGTGCTCATCATGTCAGTCCAAGTGCAAATATCTTCATCTTTTCAAGAAAATGCACAGGGTGTTCTTTGGCAAACAAGCAAATCCTACCGCTACCCGTTTGAAACAACCCGTTTGAAACAATTTGTGTTTTCACCCAAGATGGGGAGACCAAAGCTCTCGTGCCCCAAACGTTGGGTGATTCAATGTTGGACAAGCACCATAGGAGTAGATTCCACAAGCAACACTTCGCTGGAACTACTAATGTTTCCGGTCCTCGAACTAGCCAAAGCATCAACTGCCGCGACGTGTATCCCCTGGGGCTTTAGACCGGGTTAATAGAATACGAATATGGACCCAGAAGCGATGGCCTCCAACCTACAAGCGATGGCCCAACCTAAAATGGAATCCATTTGAATCCTCTGCAAACTGTCCAAGTTTCAGTGGAACTCCACTTGATACTCGTCTTGAAGTCCAACCCATCCTGAAACGTCGGGCCGGGCGGATCAAGTCAGAGTCCCCAAGCTTTCGCACATTTGGGTACGACCATGTATGACCCTTTTGCAGGAACAACACCTCAAATGGCAAAATAAACAAAGCGACAACGACGATGCGTCAAACATTCATGAGACATTCGCTCCTCCGTGCGAAAGGCCAGGTGAACAAAGGCGGACTCAGGTGGACCTGTTGCCTGAATCAAATCAAACTAATCTGAAAAGTGAACATGCTTTAAACATCACATGCGATAGAGCAAGCCGAAACGTCACAAAACCACTCAACAATGTAGCTCTTTTCAAAAAACAGCTTGTCTTGTCTTCTTTCCAACTATTTTCTCATCTTCCTCTTTCTCCTTCCCGCCTGTCGTAGTAGTACGATCCCGTCGCGATCGCCGTAGGAGGGTGGTGTCGTCTTGGGATTCACAGCGTTGAACTGTCGAACGCGGCCGGTTTGACCATTGAAATCCACCTGCTCAGACAGCCTCAGAAAGACACAAACGGTCTTTCTCATTCTCCTTTCTATTTTTTGTTTCCCTCCGTCTCTCTCTCTCTCTCTCTTTCTCTCTCCCCTCCCTCGCTCTTTTTCGTATTGTGCACTCATTTGCATGGCTATTCCTTGAGGCTCAAAGCACCTGCGCTTGTGGTGTAACTCTATCCGCATGTACAGGGAATTTCCTCCCAACATTGCAAGTAAGTTGGTCTCTTTACACCCGCCCTGGCTTTGTAAAAGGGCAGTCCACACAGCATCACAAATCAGATTGTTTGAGCAACTTCGAAAACGATCGTTGGTTGTGCTCCACTGTGCAGCATTGCTAAAGGCTGCTTCAAAGTCTGGTTGTTCAGGTACCATTGTCCACTGGTTTTGTGCTTTGATGTGCTTTGTGCATCCAGGCTCCTTGTTGCAGTTCTTTTTGCGGGCTTGACCTGATTGCTTTCCATCTCCTCCTGGCCCTCCTTGTGCTTCCCCCTCCAGTTCATCTTCAGGCCTTGCTTTTCTTTTGCGGTCGTTCTCCTCTGGGCAAACTCTTTGCGTGGTCAGGGTGCCCCGTTTTAATTACTCTCAAGGATTCTTGCCTGTGATGTCACCATCTTACATTCCATCTCCTAACCGTTCAAACCTGTAGCCCGATTTGCCCCAGCAATGCTGAATATGTGCTCTGTGACGGCAACTCGTTTGGAGAATGTGACGGCAGAAGTCATGTGAAGTAACGTCGCTTGATAACCTGATGATCTGATGCGAAGCTGTAACAGTTGAGGTAACACTGCAACGTCTTGCGTCTTCTGCTTTTTCTGCTGTTGCGCAGTTGGCATGTTATGTTGGCTTGGGCCAGGTGTGACTTTTGCCAATGTATCTGCTTAATCTGCTTGTTCTGTCGTTGAACATTGTTGCATGCTTTGTTTCTGAGCTGAGCTGACCGGGATCGTTCTCCTGAATCATTGCTCTGTCACCATAGTCTTGTGAAATGCAGCTGAAAACTCTGCAGGCGTTTCCTGGGCAAGCTTTCTGTACCAGTTGCCCAAATGGAAGGTCACTCTCTTTTGGAACACCAAAATAGTGCATCTTCACGCCTCTCTCTCTCTCTCTCTCTTGCTCGTCACGAGACGCATTGAGAGATTGCACCGACTGCTCGGTGCCGAATTCATTGATGGACCTGCCGATACATTCGAAAAGAACATGTACACTGCAAAGTATGGCTAGTGACTAGTACTGAAGTTTGAAGCTGAAGCCCGCGTGGCAGTGCTCATGCCATTGCTTTTTGTGTATTGATTTGTCAGGGTTCAATAAGACAACAATATTCATTTTGCTTTTCGCCGGCGCTGCCTGTTCTGGTTGATCAAGAAACTGTGCAAAACAGATGCAATGAGCCACATTCCATCATAGAAATAGCCAGCCCACTGGTAGTTGCAAACTCCGTTGCCATTCGCGAAGGACTCGCACTCATTAGTATACTCGCTGTAAAGATCATCGAGCCTCCTTCCGGAGAGTGAGTGAAACTGTGGTGTATTGAGCATTGGCCCTCGGTCACTTGCAATGATACCATACGATGCTCGATGTAGCTCGTCAGCTGTACACGGACTGTTCGCGGTATTCGCGTTGAGCAAAATGTAGTTCTGGTTCCACCATCCTGCTGCCACAAACCAGTTGAAATCAGGTGTCAAGAGGTTCTTCTTATAGGCCTGGCGCTGACACAAAACATATCAAAAACAAAGAAAACAACGAATAAAGAAGTAACATCGTGCTGCAAGCCGCAATGCATTGGCCTGGCATAGAAGCATCGAGCCCTCAGCTTCATAAAGAGCCACAAAATTGATCCTGTCGAGCCATGTGGGTCTCTTGGAAAACTAAACGGCAACAGGACTGGTTGGAGGCCATTCCGTTTACTTTCCTCATGAGGACTTCAACCCTTTACTCTGTGCACAGATGAAAACCCCCAACCCTCTGAGAACCACGAGGGAACCAAATCATCAAGGAGCCCTTCTGCGTCCTAGGTAGCTACTTAAGCTTAGCAAAGGCCTCCAACCTACTAGCATAAGGAATCTAGCGATGGTCCGATGGCCTCCAACCTAATAGCTTCCTAAGCTATTACTTAAGCGTCCTGACGGGAAAAACAATTGGAAACTTCACATGTCTTGCCGGGCTCAAGTCTGATGAGGCGGAAGATCAGACATGCTCAATCCTTGAATCCTTGCTGGCTGCTTTCTCCACTGCAGCTGTGGCATCCTCAATGAACTCCACTCGATGCGAGTACAAGTGCGTCCAGGAATAGTTTCCTGCCGCATTGTCGCTAGCCATCATCTCAATGAACAAATCTTTGGCAAGATTGTTGATGCTCCGGTAGCCATAGATGGTGCCAACCCGATGAAAGCCCAGGTATCTGAAGAGGTCGTATAGAGAAATCACGTTGAAGCGGAATGAGGGTGCCATGCGGGTGAAGTAGGGATACCGTTCGCTGTCGCTCAAGCTCACTGATATGCAGCCAGGACCCACCTGAGCAGTTTGGCAAAACGAGCAGTGCTAATTGAAGAGAAAAGAAGCATGACCAAACTAATGCCTGCCTTGGCCTTGTCGTTAGCCTTTTGTTAGATTTCTTTCGATTTATCAAAATATATACAAAGAATCAATGCCAACGACCAATGTCCCACTTTCCATAAGCATCTAGGAACCAAATGAATAGCGTGAGCTATCCTCCGTCCAGTAGCTAGAAGCGCTACTTAGCTAGCTTTTTCTCGTAGGCAAAAAGGAGAAGAAAATAATGATAGATTGGAAAAAATAACTTTGGAAATCACTTTGCTCACCTGGAGGACATTGAAGTGTCGGAGGGCATCGTTGACGGCCTCGCAGGCGGCGCTACAGGAGTCGCTGAGCACCACGTGCTTAGTGACCCCGGTGGTCATAGCGGCCACGGCTGCCCGCGTGGCCTCTGGCACTGAACACTTCGAGTCCTTGGTGACGAGAGAAAGGAGACAGGAGGGAGAAAGGAGAAGACAGGATGAGAAGACGATATGAGAAAAAATATCTGAAACGGGAAAAAAAAGAGGTGACCGACACAAGAGGACATTGAAGCGAGTGAGGTGCATGGGCAAAGGTTCAAACGAAAGAGCTGAGATTAAGTTTTGAAGAGCAAAGAAACACATACTACTAGGAGCAAGGACGCTACTAGGGACTCCTGGCATCGCTACTAGGAGCAAGGACGCTACTAGGGGCTCCTGGCCTTACTACTAGGAGCAAGACGTTACTAGTTTTTGAGTCTGGAGAGATGTGAACACATGTTGTTTCGATGCTGCTGTAGGTCGAAGCCGAAACTCTGCAAATGGACATACCAGTACAGTCTGCAACAAACTGCAATATCTGCAATCTGCCTTTGTGCAAGAAATCATGTTTGTGATGAACACAGTAGAAACATCTGTGACGAAGGACAAATTAAATGAGAATAGTAATACGAAGAATATACAATACTGTACTATACAATGGGCAATAGATTGGTACTATGCTGTTCTACGCGAACTCTGTGGGATACCTTCTTAGACCAGAAGCTGCAAGATGAGCATTGAGGCGATAGCCTGGCAGAAAGGAACTGTCTTCGATGTCCTGAAGCCGGCGAATTCTGTCCAATCCTGGTCAAACCTCAACAACATAATGTATAGATGGACATACATATTATGATCATATTATATATGTAACATTGTTTTATTTAGTACAATTTTACATTATCTTATTATGCATACATTGTATTGAATGTATTGCGCCGATATGTATTAGGTTGTCTCATACCTTTGGCCGTTTCCGTCCTGGACTGCCATAGCGATGGCTGGCTCAACTTGTGACATGAGATCTCCAAGTCCTCCGACGTACGGGTTGATCACTGCCACGTTGAGGTCCACAACACCTAAAGGTCCACGCTTCAGATTTCGAGACTTCATATGTCTTTGCATTTTTGCCTTCAGACCCGAAAACTTAGTTCTGCAACTTGCAATTCAGGCTGAAAAGGATACACGCAAAATGCAAAATGCAAACACACGTCGCTCTATGTGCGTCTCTCAAGCTGTTTCGCCGATTGTCAACATCCAATGTATATATAACATATATATATATAGATATGCAGAACAACATATATATATATATACACTGTGTGTGTTGCACACACTGGTGCGGGCCCCGGGCCACCCTCCTCCAAACAAGCGAAGCAGCGCCGCCAGGCGCAAACACTCTTTTCCACCAACTCTCTCCAGGTCGTGCCCGACCAAAAAGGCTGAGCTCTCTCCAACGGTCGTCCGCGACCGATGCACCACGAGTGGTGCTCCCACTACTAAGCCCCCTGACTTCGAGCCTAGTGTGGCGGTCATCCCAGAAAACACTGCACACAGTGGGCCCACGAACGAACGAGTTGCTGATTGCCTTGGCACGAAATAACACTCCTAAAAAATATCTTTCTTACTATCAAAGAACATTCTTTGAACCCCCCAATGCATAAGTGCCTGACGGATTATGATCGGTGCACTGACTTGTGGAACTGTGCTCGATGCAACGCTGGCATGCTGGCTGTTCACCTTCGGTGGTAGTTTGCATCCGTTTGTGTCGGAGTCTCTTGTCCGATCGTTGCTTCAAGACTTCGCCCACATCTCTTAAAAGACATCGACCTTTCTCGAGAAATGTCCTGAGGATGGTGGTGTCCATCTCTTTAGTTAGTGCATCGGCCATACCCACTTAATTACTATACCTTCTTTCAACCTATCTTTGATGACGAGTGCTCCTAACAACGTACGGTATTCCGAACATGAGGGCACTGCAGTTTTCTGAAGAAGGTCATACAGGCTCTTACAGTCCACAACAGCGAATGCTGTGGGCAGCTGTGTCAGGGTTTCACTTGGCTTTCTCCAATCAATTTTTGGGTTCAGCAGCCAACTCCACATGAGTCGAACCCAGCTCAGCTGATCCAAAGCTCCTGAGAGAGCATAAGTCTCTGAGGCTAGGGTGCTGGAAACAACACGGTTGATTTTTCGAGAACTCCAAATTAAAGGACTTACTTTGGTTCCCCTTTCGTCTTCTACTTTGGAGGTGGTTGCCAAAATGAAAGTTCCTCTTTGCGAGTGGGCTCTCTCACGGGTGGCAAACGCTGCATCTGAGAAGGACAGGAACCGGACTTCTTCTGGCTCCAATGATTGGATTCGGATCTTCACATGGGCATGGCGCTTGGCATCGTCCAACAGCCGATCTGCGATGAGCAAATCTTCAATCGTCGCTGTTGGAATTCTTGCTTGCAAAAGGCTTAGACGACATGAAATGTCTGGTCTAGTGTTGGTGGCGGCATATTGTAAACTCCCAATTAGACCCCTCAGAGCTTGGATTTCTTGGTGGTTTGCCAAAGCCTTTTGGTCTTTTCTGCGTTCCCTTGAAATCTCGATGGGTGGTATGTCTCTGATATATTCACTCTGATTCAGTTGAGTATCTCCATTGGCTTCTTGGGTGAGTTGGACACCAGTGAATGTAAACTTTTGCGACTTCTTGCTACCGAATGGAAACTTCTTTTCGAGACGATCGATGGTCTGATTGAAGATTTCATCTCCTCCACAGATACCATCGTCAACATGGACCCCAAGGACACCATGTATTTGACATGTTTCTTCCGGTTGACCCTTGGTTTTCTCTTTCGGAAGAATGAAGAGACAAGGGTCCAAGGGGGACACCTGAAAGCCTAGGTCCAGTAGGGACACCTGAAAGCCTAGGTCCAGTAGCGCGTTTCTGAGTTCAATATACCAAAGCAGTGGGGCATTCACCAACCCGTACGCACCCTTCAATAGTTCACAGGCTTCTTCCTCCTTGAGACCTAGTCGACGGCGCATTTCGACTGGTGGTTCGACGCCGAGGATTCGGCTATCTTGCTTACTTCCTCGCAAGAAAGCTGTGGAAATATCGATCGATTTCAGCGTCCATTTTTGACTTGCAATGAGTTGCAAGAGCAGCATTCTGGTGTCCCGGCCGAGTGTCGGACTGTCCCGAGGTAGTGAATCTAAGGCTGGGTCTTCATATGGTCAATCTCTTTGGTTTTTTGCTTGCTCAAACTCTGCTTTCTCGGATGGAGTGAGGTCCTTGAGACGGACTTCAACCTTTTGTCGTTTTGGTGCGGACGCTATCAGAGCTTCTTGTTGTTGGTATGTTTGATTTCGACATTGATGCAGTTCGGCTTGGGTCAAAAACACTTCACATATGATCGTATGATCCCGGTGGATTTCTCATTCTCGGGTTTGGGATCACTTTCGAGAACATGGGTTTCTTCTAGTTTGTCCTGATCTATGGTGAATACTGTTTTCCCAGTCCAGGCATCGGCTAAACATCTGTGGCTAGTGACAGTGTCTTGCCATGGTTCTTGGATGCAAAACCGTTCTCCTGACCGATACTTTCCGGTGGTTTTACGAACTGTCCCGAGGTGGCATATTGGCACTGGACATGATGGGTCCTCCTGAGGTTGAAATGTCCTTAGCCGAGGCACGTTGTGGTATCGAATTAGCTTGTCACCCTCGACTCCCCAGTGGTCATGCGAAAAGGCATCGGTCCACAGACTGTCCTCGTCCTCATCATCTTCTGGAACTGGGGTCATGGATGCATCAGGATTTGGGCTGTCTGGATCATGTGGACTTGGTGGGCGACTTGAGTTGATCTCAGATTCTGCGTTCGGTTGACCAGTTCCTGGAGATGCAGGTCTATTCTCAGTTGGTACTTCATTCTGGGTATTTGTGGGTAGTACTACTTCGGGTATGATGGCTTCTCCCCGTGGCGGACTGGGGTGATGCGATTCTCCCTCTGGGTGATTTTCGAGGCAATCTTGGTACTGGAAAACTCCTGACCCTTGAATTGGAGCAGCTCCCAGTTCCTGAAGGCTCCGGGCTATCAGCTGTTCATTCGATGATAGCATGCAAACATGCTCGGGAGCGATGCGGTACAGTCGTGTCAGGTGTGACAGCCACACAGCATTGTGCTCTACCATCAGGACTCGGGCTGGACCTATCCACTTTCCATCTTCATGTTTGCTGGACTTCCAGTACATCACCCAATCCCCTATATCGAGTAGATCGTCCTATGAGGTCGTGATCGGGCGTGTAGTGACTTCCGGAGCACGGAACACTGATCAGTTTTCACATATGCTATTCTGGCGGCTTCCCGCATTAGGTTTTGCTGGCGGAATCGGCTTCCCTCAGTGTCAGCGAACGAAGACGCGTCCGATGGATCATTTTCCATGAGACTTCCCGGGGCACGTCGGCTTTTACCTAGTACTAGCATTTCTGGGCTATACCCTGTGTGTTTTGACAACGAGTTTTTGGCATTGCGCAAATGGATTAAAGCCTGGCTGAAGCCGATATGATCATGGATCGGTTGTTCGGCATGATACTTTGACAGCATTGTTTTCAGGATGGCTCCATTCCTTTCGGCCCTACCTAGTTGCCAATGCGCCCTTGATGGAATTGGATATGCCCGGACATCATGTTCCTGAAAAAACTCGCTGAAAGCCTGGCTGTTGGCCTCTCCACAGCTATCGAACATCACCTCTTTGGGTGGTCCTGCCCATCGAATCCAAGCTTCCTCAAAGCATTTGATGAGGCTTTGGGGCGTCCCTTGGTGATATGCTGTGGCGACATGGAAGTTTGTGGCTGAATCGATGAAGTGGTAACACCAGTAGCTTTCTCCGGCGGGCGTCTTCCACTCTAGTGCATCGAACGACGCTAGATCATTGAAATCTCGAGGTGGATTGAGGTGTGCGGGTCTCGCTATTTTTGGGGCTTCCTGTTCTTTACATGCGTCGCATGAAAAATCGGCCAAAGCTCTGATGACTACGTCTGACCATCCCTCACTTGGGAGCGCTGCTTTCAATTGGGCATGTCCAGGGTGCCCAAGGTTCTTGTGGATCTTGCTGATTTGGTGTTGTAGTTTGTCAGGTAAGGCACGAAACATTGGTCCATGTAGGGCTTGGATTCTTTTCTGTCCGGAGTCCTCCGGTTCATAGGTCGGTGCTGATTCTGGCGCCATGCTTTGTTGCTTGGCAGACGATTCTTTGTCGAGTTCTGTCTCTGGGCGTTCAGCTCTCTCGACCTTTGCACTGCTGGCGACAGGACCTATCCCACCCTCATGGTCTCTAGCGAACATGGTCATTTTCAGGGCGTTCTATTCAATTTGATTATATATATAATATATGTATATCTTTCCATCATGCGCAAACGGGTTTGCTGACAGAGGTCTTCCGTCAGAGGGTTTTCATCGTCGCCACTAAGCCAGAGTTCAATTTCAAGGACTAACTGTTGCTTGCTTTTGGTATGTTTTGGCAAGTCAAGGCCACGACGATTCAAGGCAGTCAGTCTTCAAAACACTCAGTGGCTTTGCAGGACGCGCGCTTGAAGACTGCTACCGAGATTGAGGAACAGTGTCACCGGCCGTGGAACTCCTCCCAAAAGCCGCTGCTCCAGGACTGGCTGGTATCCAGCTTCAGTAAAGATGACGCGAAGCGTCTTCATGCTGTTGGGAATGTTGTATTTCCAAAAGCTGCTGAACTGGCAATCAATTTGGTCGAGTCGAAACTCCGCCAGATGTAAACTGTTTTCTTTGTGTGGCAAAGCGTAATTTGAAGTTATTGCAACAATAGTACAGTATCTGCAATCGGTGGCTAGTGTTGCACAGCAGCGCTGGACGTCATTTGCGGGATGAAGTCGAAAAGGGTAGCAAAACAATTCAGTAAACATTTGAGGGTCCAATTTGTGTTTCCGATACGTCGCCCAAACATCTCAGAGCTGTGTGTCAAGTTGCGAGAGTTTGCTTCTTCTTATTACTTCTCTTACTTATTGACGAACAATTTGTACTTGACGCAGGGCTGGAACATGTCAGTCACTGTGTCACACGCCC